ATCTCTAAAATAAAAAAAATCCTGAAAAATATGAAATAATGTTTCAGGTAATAATAGTGCTCAAATATAATATTTTGTGCAATTTACTAACTCATTAAGAAAATCCAAGAATTACTAAAAATAGACACCCAATTTTAAAAACTGTGCTCACACAGTAACTTTTGAAATTCAGATAATTGAAAGCAGTTTTTTTTTTATAATTTAATTGTTACAAGTTTATTTTAGTTTAATAATTACTGATGGCCTTTATGACAAAAGTTTTTTATTATCTCTGAACTGAGTCAAACAGTATATTTCAGTATATTTTTTTCCATTAAAGTCTGATTTTAGAACAAGAACAAAGTGGTAAATAATCAGCAGGTTTATTGTCAAGTATCTACATTTTGGCTGAACTTTGTTCACTTGGACTTCTGTTAAAAGATTTCATGAACCCTTATAAATGAAAGTCTTTTTTTTTTTAAATCAGATCTATAATAAACTCATTAAAACTCTGAATCGTGGTTTCTGTTTTAGTGCGTTTCCATTTCAATTTGACATATTTGTTGTTGGTTTTAATCTAAAGCTGGTGGCTTAAGTTATAGTGAAAATATTTTTGCACAGATTTAAAATTACATTTATATCATGTAAGAAGACTTTCTGAAGCAAGCGCAGACCTTGTGACAAACTGAAACGCTTATATTCCGTTTCTGACAGGTGTGAGGTTTACCTGTCCACTGTCCCTTCCAGGTGTGTGAGTGAGACTTTGTGGTCTTCATCCAGGGAAAAGGGAGGTGGTATCTGTTCTGTTCCCCCGGGTCTCCATAACCCGGAGGCTGAAGCGGGGCCTGCGGGAGCCCCTGCGGGTGGTGCAGCTGCGGCACACCTGGATCCTCCCGCGCGTTGGGCAGGCTGTACGCGGMGGCGATGTCCGTCAGGCTGGCCTGCTCCAGGGGCCCCAGGGCCGGCGGTGTGTAGACGGAGTGCACCTGCCTGCTCATGTAGAGGCAGGGCGGAGGGCTGTAGTCCTCCCCCTGGGGTCTCTGGTAGGCGCAGGAGTCTTTAAAAACCTGAGAGGGGTAGAAATGATCGTCCTGGTTCATGGCTGGCGAGCACCGCAGACCGGCCGCCTTCCCTCCGCGCGTTGGACCTTCAGCTCTACCTGTGGCGCAACTGCGAGGGCCTCCGCGGCTCCACACAAGTGTGTCACTCTGTCACCATGTGACCCTGCGGCGCCTGAGCCATTGGTTTCTGTTTGCTCAGATACAGCAGACCCACAGCGGCCAGTTTCCAGGATATTCTGCAGCTTGTGGGAGATTTTCTCCTTCCAGTAAACTTAACTCGGCGTAAATCAGCGCCACTCTGTTTACACGGACTTCCTCAGACAAGTGAACAGGTGAGCTGGAAACACCCTCAGCTTTAGAGAAAACAAAAGGTTTCTCACGCGGGACACTCTGGATGGTCCTCAAACAATGCAACTATCGACTTTTTATATGGAACTACCTGTTGTCCGCGCGCTGCGCCGGATAAATCGATACGAATGGGCGCAAACATTGGGTTGACCTGCGAGATAAGAGACACGGTCGTCTTGGAAACTCAGCCGCCACATCCTATTTTCCACAGCCGCTTTCTTTTCGAGCATTTCGGACTTTAAAAACGTGGCCATTACACTTTTCTAAATGCCCCATTTAACACCGTTTTTACGCGCCTCGTCTCGAGCGAAGGGCCCTCTGGCGACAACAAACACGGAGCTGCTGCTGCACTCTCCCTGTGTTTGCTGGCCATTAGTCTCTTGTGTGTTTTCACCCCATTAAACAAGAGCTCTCTTGGCAAAGTCAATTAGGATGAAGAGAGCGGCCGAACTCAATTAACTGGCCGCGCGCTCGGAACGTGTCTCCACAAGACCCCGCCGCGGTTTTTACGCACTGCTCCCAGATGCAGCCGGACACTTGTTTTCCTGTGGAAACAACCAGGGCCGGCTCTAGCCAATCTGGCGCCCTGTAAGATTTTGGTGGCACCCCTTGTACGTTTTCCTAAAATGTACTGCCAATTTACACCATATTAGTTTTTGTTAGAATCCAAGTAAAATAGTTAATTTCATATGTTAACATTTGTTTAACCAGGTAAATCCCATTGAGACCACTTTTTCAACGGAAGTATATGGGGCCTGTATATGTTTTTGGTCTGGATTACCTGAAAAAAATCTAGGCAAACTCTGAATAGAAAGACCCCACGTCTGAACCAGGGATCAAACCCAGGACCTTTTTGCTGTGAGGCAGCAGTGTTAAGGGCTCGACACACGGGAGGCGACGTCGCTCGCTCTCCATTCATTTCCTATGGTAGTTGTGCGGTGAGGCGACAATCGCTTGCCCTCTTCCAGCTAAGCGACCGGCGAAAATAGTGCATGTGAAATTTCGCGCTCGTACACGAAGACGTGCACACGCGAGCTTGCGACGCGACATATGAAAGTTGAAAAATGTTCAACTTTTGTCGCTGTCGCTTAGCGTACAACCAATCAGCGAGGGTTTCATTGACTGACCAATGAGAGGAGAGTATGCTACACACTGCAGTTAGCTAACACTTTCACCAAGTGATTACTAAAAAGCTTTGTGGGAATTTATTGGCACCAGGGTGAAGTTTATGGTAAGTTTTTCCTCATAAAACTGTATCTTGATGTGTGTTTGTTTTTCAATATCATTAGCATCGCAAGATTTGTTTAGTTTACACGTCCATAATGCACATCCGCCTTCAGAGTTAAGAACCAATCAAATTTTGTGAAGACAAGCGACCTGAGAGCGCGATTCGCAACGCTGTGATCGCTATCGCGTCCCGTGTGTCGGGTTTTCACCCTGGCTGCGATGACAGCCGCTAACCGCTGTAGTTTGTCGCTGCCCGTGTGTCGAGCCCTTTAACCACTGAGGCACCATCGTTAACAATATAATTCATTTAAAACAGAACACCAGAAGTCCACCTCATACCTGCCAACATCTACCAACAGCAATGAGGAACACCTGCTCATGCTAACCAGCAGCTGTGGAGTGAAGCAGTTCAAAGGGAGCCCAGGGTTATACTGCCTCACAAAATTTAGTAAAATATCTACTCAAAACTCTACATTTTCCAGACATTTGAAGTGCATTTTACTACATTTTTGAGAGTAATAAAACATAAAGTCAGTGTTTTATAAAAGTAAAATTTTCTTTAATCAAAAAAAAAAAAAACCTAAGATCCGAACTGAAACTTGATTTGTTTTCAGAAAATCAACTAGACTTTGACAAAAGGTTATACAATATTTTTATTTCCCATTTGTAGCCCCCCCGATGGATGGTGCCCTTAACGTTTGCCTACACTGCCTTCACCACAGGCCTGGCTTTTACTGTGACCGCCTGCGCAGCATCAATACACTATTTGCACCGAGATCTTCTAAAGCAATTACGGCACTTTCCCCCGTATCTTAATGGGGCACTCAGCGACGCAATAAAGTTCAAGTAAACCAATTCTATCCAAAACACCCCCCCTCCGCAATGTGGCTTAATGGTATTTATATTTGATCATTGTTGCAAAGAGGAAGGAAACCGTTAATCCAGGCTGTTCTCTGGATAACGTGATTTATGAAGCGTGCTGCCAGCGTTTGAGACGTTTCGACGAGCAGAAAAATGAGAAGCGACGCAGCCAGATGTTGTTATGGCAGAACTAGATTCTGTGTGAGCCATCAGGGTCGAAGACACAGAGGCCTTCCTGCCTGTAAAGTTGAGGGAGCAATAAAAAGACGGAGGTGACAGGTCAAACGGAAAGATATAAACACTTAAAAGTGCCGAGTGAACGGCCATCTGCTGTCCTAAAGCTACAAAAACATGAAAAAACTGACGTTAAAATCGGAATCGTTCTACTTTAAAAATAAAAAGAAAGAAAATGAACTCGCCGCTGAGGACTGCCTCCATCAAGCACAGGTGTGCCGGGGAAAACATTTCTTTTTCTCCTTTGACAAACAAAACCGTTTTCAGATAGCATGTCAAAAAGCTGGACACGTGATAAAACGTGCTTACCCTGTGGCGACAGCAGCGCGACTTGTGCAAACACCACGACCGCTGAATAATGACTGAAGAAAAGTAATGACATTGTAATTGAGATCATGGCTCCTCCACTGACAATGAAACACAGTTTACACCTGAGTCAGGTCGGGGGGTGGGGCGGTGCTGCTAAGATTTCCTTAAAAATTGACATTTAAAAAGCAGCTTCATATTTTATTAATTCATATTTTAGTGCAGGAACTTTTAGTCCATGATTTGAAAAAAAAAAAAGAGTCAAATATTTCAACTTTGCTACATGTGAATATCAAGTAAACGAACTTTACCCTTTAAAACTGCTCTCCATGTGAAAAAAATAACATTTTTAAACTTTTTTTTAAATTCGTTGAAACAAAAGGTTAAAGATTTTGCCGTTTTCACTAAGTGAACAGCATTAAATCTCTCTGCAGTCWAGGGTCTATAGCTTCAGTCTTGCAACTTGTTTTTATAAAAGCAACACTCCATAAGTCATCCGTCTGTCTTCGTCTCTCGCTTCTGTCCATCGGCATGCCTACTGTCCCTGTCGTCTCTGTCGCGTCTGTCCTTATCTCTGTCCCGCCTCTTGTCTCGGCCCGTGTGGCGGTCCTTGCGAGGATGTTTATGGCCTGCGTGGCCTCCATTCTTCCTGTGATCGGCCGGTGGCGTTCTGCTGCGGTCACGGCATCCTTCTGGGGACTCGCTCCTGTGACGTCCTCTGGTGTTGGATCGTTTGGCTCGGGGCTCCTCGGTGTGCCGTCGCAGGCCAGTGGAGCGCAGAGTGTTGAGCAGGAAGCGTTTGTTGGTGCTCCGTAGAGGACACTTCAACCTGACGGGGGGAAAAAAAACAGAGTTTGTTTCTACTGGACAGTGTGTCAGAACAGGATGGGTATGACAGAGATGTGGGTCTGACTAAACACAAACAGGGCAAATGGACAGTCAGAACTCATAAATGAACCTATTATTTTTATTATTATTATTAGTGTCTTATTATGATGGAAACATGAACTGACACCTGATTGATATATATTTATGGCAGTAGCATACTATTGCAGATATATCTGTTTCAGAGCACAGTTTGTCATCGGAGTAGCATCAGCAGTAACAGTAAGAGTGTCATCAGTGCTGACAGCAGCTGATTACAGTCAACTGTAAATCAGCTGCTGTTGATGCTGTTTGTGAAATAACTGCGAGGCGTTCTTCCTGTAGAGATGGCTCAAAAAGAGTGACTATCTGGAAAAATTGGAAGGTTGCCAATTCAATCACTGCTTTTCCAAATATCCCCATGGAGCCGTCAGTTTGTGTGTGGATGTAGATGTGACTTGTAATATGTAGAAATGCTGTGAGTACTCTGTAAGATTAAAGCAGTGCAAACTCACCAGTTTTTTGTAAAATAAAACTGTCTTTCTACACGTAAAAATAATAATAATATCGCAATGGCTTCAAAATAATCAGTCCATAAAATAGTAGTTTTTAGCACAATAAATTGATGAGGATTACAATTTCACTGCTGGAAATAACTGAACTTAAAACAAAAAGTAAGTAAATTGGTGTTTGGTAGATTATTTCTTTGTTGTAACAATGCTTTTTGGCAATAAATCTTGTACTGTTGGAAAGTCTGGCAATTTAGTTTTAAATGCTGCCACATTTGCAAGGAACATGCTCTTGTAGGATGGTCAGTAGAGCAGAATTTGTGGGTTGCACACATGAAATATTTTCCAAATCTTCTCTGCCAAACAGCTTATTTTGCTAAAAGAAAAAAAATTGTATAGGTCTTCTGGATAGGTTCTTCTCTAATGAAACGTTTCATCTCTCCTCCAAGAGATTTCTTCAGTCTGAGAGTTTCAGGCAAAATTCAGGCTTTTTAAGCCCTGCCTCCATGTGACTGATACATCACATGGCTATTGTTGTTCTGTATAATGTCTTGTAACGGCCACAGCCTACCCCAGTTACCACTACTGTGCATGTGTGTCAAGGACAGAAAGGCAGATGTGGCAGTGGAAGGTGTCAAAGCAGT